TCGATATACCAGGGATTACTTCTTCGATTTGAGTCACAAATTGGCTGTAAAATTATGTTATGTTATTTAATCAATTGAATATATATAATATATACATATATATAAGTGTGTATGTTTATATGTTTACCTTTCAAAATAACCAATCAATGGATGCTCGCAATTAAGAAGAATATAAAGGTGTGCACTATGGACGTCTTCATCACTCGACCACCAAACCTCTTTCAGTTTCCAACCCAATCGCCCAATTTGACAAAAGATGTCTGGAACATCTTCTTCCATATATGTCGGCACAACACCACCATCATCATATCTTCTTGGACCTCGTTTTCTTGTACGTACTTTCGGTGCAAAGTAGTACGATGTGAAATGTGATGTTTCTTCCGTCAAACTTCCCGCAACAATAGAACCTTCAACTTTTACTAAGTTTTTGGTTTTTCCTTTCAAAGTTTTCATGGCCCTTTCATACTGATACATCCATCCATAATGCACAGGTCCACGAAGTAATGCCTCATACGGGAGATGGACAACTAGGTGTTCCATGACGTCAAAAAAGTAGCCGGAAATAGTTTCTCCAAGTAGCACATTAATGGAGATGTTTTCATGAAGTTGTTGGACAACTTCCTCATTAAGAGTGCGGGTGCTCAGATCCCTAAAAAATGCTCAAATTCCTTATATATTACAAAAAAAAAAAATTAAACACAATAGTATATTCATATATATATATAAAGAAATAAATTAATGTTTGCATCGTATTATATTAATTACCTGAAAATGCTTCATGTCCTTTTGCAGGTAGTAGCTCCGCAAATGCTAAGGGAAGTAGTCGCTGCATAAAGACATGAAAATCATGGCTCTTCATCCCAGAGAACTTTTGCCCTTTCTCAACACATCTTGAGAGATTTGAATTTTACCCATCAGGGAACTTCACTTCTTAAGCCACCCAATTGAACAACGCAGACTTTTTTTCTGATGATAATTTGAATATCAGAACTGGAACTTGCCCATTGCTTTTTATATGAAGCTCACTTCTTGAGCAGATATCGGGTAAGTCCAACCTCGATTTTACGTTGTCTTTCATCTTCCCTGGGACAATTAATATAGTGTTCACGATGTTCTCAAAAACATTATTCTCTATATGCATAAGATCGAGGTTGTGGCGCAAAAGAAGATCTTTCCAATATGGCAATTCCCAAAATATACTCTTCTTGTGCCAATTGTGCTGAACACCATAAGAATCAGGCATATTACTGGGAACATGCCAATCCAACCACGAGGAGCTGTTTCTAGAGCACCGTAGTAATCGATTTGCGTTTCGATTTGTTCTCCAATTAAATATGGCGGAGGAGTGTCTCTAACAACCCTTTTGTGCCTGAACAATGTTTTGTTTCTTCGGTGTGGGTGGTAAACGGGAAGAAATCGACGGTGACAATCGAACTAACTATTCTTCCTACCATTCTTCAACTGAAACGCATTTGTCATTCCATTACAATATGGACAAGCTAATCTCCCATGTGTAGTCCACCCAGACAACATCCCATATGCAGCAAAGTCACTTATGGTCCACAAAAGCATCGCTCGCATCGTAAAATTTGTTTTCGTTGAACAATCATATTTCCTTACCCTTGTTGACCACTAATCTTTCAACTTTTTTATAAGTGGTTGTAGAAAAACGTCGAGAGATCTTTTTGGATGCTTTGGACCAGGTATTAATATGGTCAAGAATAGAAACTCTCGTCGCATGCACATCTCCGGTGGCAGGTTGTACGGTGTAAGAAAGACTGGCAACAATGAATATTGTCTCTAACATTCCAAAATGACTAAATTCATCAGTGCATAATCCAAGATACACATTCCGGCTATTGCTAGCGAAATTTGGATGTACTTTGTTAAAATGTTTCCAAGCTCTTGTATCTGATGGATGAATCATCTCTCCATCCGTCTGAGTATGCTCGGCATGCCATCTCATCCCTCCAGCAGTCTCCTCAGATTGGTACAATCTTTTCAATCTGTCTGTGATTCGTAGGTACCACATCCTTTGGTATGGTACCCTATTACGCCCTCGACCTTGCGGTTTGAATTGTGGCTTCTTACAAAATTGACATTCTTCTAACTTCTTATCATCTCCCCAATAAATCATGCAGTTGTCGATGCAAACGTCTATCATCTCCGAGGGCAACCCAAGACTATATACCAATTTCTAAATCTCATAATAAGATTCAGCAGACACATTGTCTTCTGGAAAATACTCTTTAAACAAGTGTGCCCATGCATCCATACAATTTTCAGGTAGATTGTGATCGGTTTTAATACTCATCATTCTAGCACCAAACGACAATTTAGACAGACCTTCTCTACAACCACTATAAATTGACTCACTCGTAGCTTCTAACATCACTTACCATATCATGAACCCTATCAGAATCTACCATTTGTTCCTCCTGGGGATAGCTATTTTCATTATGCAAATGATCAACTGGTTTAACCTAAAAATTGCTATTACTACTACTAGCTTCATTCCTACAACTAGCATCTTCTCCATGTTGATACCAAATATAATAATAGGGAATGAAACCTCTATTTATTAAATGCGTCCAAACATTTTCACGAGGGCCTAATTTTGTATTGCAGCATTCCCGACAAGGACAGAACATCTTACCACTTTCCTACGTGAGTGGTGTAGAATCTGTTTGATGCATAAACGTCTCCAACCCTTCGAGAAATTCTTTCATCACTCTCCCGTTATTATCTCTGTGTGAATACATCCACTTCCGCAACTCGAAAATATTTCCAGGACCAGACATTTTTTTTCTTTTATCAAGCTTAAAGCTGATTTTTTTTTGGTGTGTTTGAAATGAATCACAAATGGTGGTATTTATAGAAATTTTTGAATCTGAACATTTACTAGAAAATTGCGAGGAAATGTAGGTACAAAACACGTTTTTAGATTTAAAATAGATATTTTCTAGCCAGTTCCTCGCTAATTAGAAGTAAAAGAACATTTCCTCATAATTTCGTAGTAATGTTTTACGTGGACTTTTCGAGGAAAAGTTTTACTACGAAATTACGAGGAAATGTTCTTTTGCCACGTAGTTTCCTCGGAATTTTACTACGGCCTTACGAGGAAACAATTTTCTCATTTGTTTACGAGGAACTTACTTTGCTTCTAGTTTTCCTCGTAAAACCGAAGTAATTTCGTAGTAAATTTCCGAGGAAAGATTTTCGTAGTAAAATTCCCTAGTAAATGCGGAGTTTTCTTGTAGTGCATGTAGCAGTCTTAAAGCATGCAGCGTTGAAGATGAGTTTCGTAAGGAACATGGTTGATACAGGTGAAGTGAAGGTTCAGAAGGTGTCTACTAAGAAGAATCCAGTGGACATGTTAACTAAGGTGATTCCATGTTTGAAGTTTAAACAAGCTCTTGAGGATCTTGGGATAACTAAGTGCTAAGGTAATTGCATTGTTTGGAGGTATAAGGGATGAGTTCAGGTCTGTTGATGTCAAGGTGGAGATTGTTATGAAATGTGACATTCAACAGACTTTATATCACTTAACTTGAACCAGTTTAGTTAAGGGTAAGGTGATGGTACGAGAAGCAATTGAAAATAACCGGAGTGGCTATTGCATTCAGTTGGTTCAGCGTGTACCGGATCTCATCTATATAAGTGACTGAGAAAGGAGGAGTTCATCATCCGTAAAAAACTAATCCAAAAGAAGAATCAGAGAGAGAGAAAAAGGAGAAGATCATCGAGGAGCTTGAACTGTATCTTGATTCATAGTGTTTTTGAGGGTGATCTGATGTACATTCTTGTGTTGATTCTAGTGGATAGTTGCATGTGCCATCAAGCCCCAGATGTAACGGATTCACATCGAATCCCGAACTGGGTAACAAACTTGTGTGTCTTTGTTCTTTCTTTTTTCACATAAACACAAACGAGAGTTCGTGAGAGGTGTAAGGATATACGGAGAATAGAGAGGTTGAAGATTAACTCACAAGAAGGCGATTCGACTTTGATTCACAACATAACAAATCAAACCAGCTCTCAGTCCCAGATATGGCTCGCAAGAAGGACAACGTCTACAACAACTCTCACTCCAGTCCGTCTAAAAAAATTGTTTACAAATGTCAAACCGGAAATAACCAGAATGCATTGAACCAACACAATTGTCAAAAAAATTGTTTCAATTGCATTGATCTAAATTTATGTATTTCCCAAAGTGTTAGACGAGAATGTATGCGATACAGGGGCGGAGGCAGCCTTTAGGGAGGAGGGTCACTTGACCCCTATAAATTTTTATTACAAGAACATTTTACATGTATTTTTGGTTAAAAAACTTTTGAAATGTAGTAAAATTAGTGTAATGACCCTGGTAATATTTGCTGAAAGTTATCTTAAACCAATTATTTCGTTTTTTTTACCCTTATAAGTTTTGTGGCTAACTCCGTCACTGATGCAATATCAACATGTCTAAGTCTTTATAGAATCAACGCATAGTAAAATCTCTATAATTAATAATGTTACCAAAATTTATTTTTTATTAATTTAGATATATTAATTTATCGACTAATCAAACCAAAAACTCAATTTGTAACTATAAAATTATATTATTTTATAGAGATATTTAGTATATATTAATTTATCGAGTAATTCTACTGTAGTTACTTAACCGAATCTTGAATCTAAAACGGAAACAGTGCAAGATAATATCCAAAACCAAACCGGATTGTTTTTGTAATTAGTATATTGTCTGGAACACTTTAACCTTGACTATAATCAACAATTACAAAAACTCAAGTTAAAACAACAAAAAAGCACACTCATATAAACGTGTCTCTGTCTCGCTATACCATTTCTGCTGCCTTCTTGACTCTACTCAAATCCAATGCAACCCAAAATTTCGGATCAAATATCCAAAAAAGTCTTCCAAAACAAAAGGGAGAAGGAAACAATAGTGAGGGATGTACAGAATGGCAAGAAGGGTCAAAGGCTGAGCAAATCGTGCATTAGAGTAGCTTGCTCGTCCTTCTTTTCGATGGCCCTCCTGGGAACATCTTCATGATCCATCCTAGGACCCTTTCCACCACCTAAAGACAGAGAAATTATTAATGTGTGTTTACCTCATCTTATTCAGATCCACGTTTTCAAATCTGACCAGAAAAGAGAGAGAGAGAGTGCGTGTACCTCATCGCCCTCATCTGCAATTGGTATTCTCTCTTGAACAACATGAGAATCTGGCTGCTTTGCAGGTGACACATTGTCTATAGCCATATTCTGTGCTGTTAGAAGCTCTAACCTTTGTGTCTGCACTTCAAGTTTTCTGGATAGCTCTTTATTCAGCTCCTGCGGTTACCAAACATGAATATAAAAACTTTAGGAAACAGGAGAAACCCACAATATACCTAATAAACATTAAACGATCATGTAAAAGTTGTGAGCTCCAGGACCAAAGTTGAACAAGAAAAAGAAGAAATGGCGTGGGATTTTGAGGCTGTGAGGACCAAAGTTGTTACAAGTCGCTGAATATATATTAAAAAAAAAAGACACGCTCCAGTTCATGTGTTTTCATGCTTTTCAGTTGATGTTAATGTACCTTCACATGTGCATTTCGAGATAACTCAGATGACAATGCTTGCACCAGTTCCTCGTTTTCAATTGCCAACTGAAACCAAAGATGCAAAATAACTGTCACTTTGACATCCAGATTGAGAAATGATAGCATCTTAAAACTTGAAAAGTATTGATTCTCTCAGCTAAAGAACCAAAAAAAAAAATCTGAGATAACTTCACATAAAAAACCCGTGAATACTACCTCAGCAATCAATGTATTAATGTTATCAATCACTCTCATTTGATCAGCCGGGACGCTCAATGAAAATCCTCCAAGAGTTAATGGTCCAGTTTCAGGATTGATAGCTGTATTAGACGAATCACTTTCGAGCAGCGCAGTAGCATCGGTTTCCTGGTTGGAGCTCCCTGACACAGCTTCTGAAATTGCTGCACAAAGAAAACAAAGAGGCAAAATAGGATTATGAATTATTTAATTTAATACTAGTATCCTGGTTTAGAAGACTACACCCCATCAACTAGAGTTATATGATTAAACTTGAAATTTCTTTTCTTTAAGATGAAGATATATGAGTTTTGATATCTAAAATATGCTACACATATATAATAGTGAGCATATCCTACTGTGATTTTATAGGAGGACCATTACCAAGACCTTGGGTAGAGGTTGATGCGTTTTTCCTGCTAGTGGAGCTTTTACCGAGATCAGTGGACTTTCCACCAGAGGAAGCCTTCTGCACCATAGTTTGTAGGACCTTCTTTTCTGAAAAGGAAGATGAAGAATATATAAGATATATACAGAATTTAGAGGATCACATTAAGTGTGCTTACCTTCCTGAAGAGCTTTAATAGTAGACTGTAAGTCTTGGCGATCTTTCTCTAGGCTCTGTAATCTTTTCCTATCACAGTTGATAGTTAAGATGAGAATTATATCCTAGAAAACCTTAGAAATTACGGATAGGTAAATAACAAAACAGTAAAGAGCATACTTGTAAGATGACACTTCCGCTTGTGCATTCTCAAGTTCCCTCTCCAGCTTTAACTCATTAGATCTGAGTCTTAGAGCCTATATATGTTCCATGATAAGGTTAACCGCTAAACAGATGTATATGAGGATCTGAGGTTAGAGGAAAGAGTATCTTCAAAGCTTAAAAATCAAAAATCTAAACAAAAATATGTCATTCCAAACTTCTGCAGTAGGTTGCAAATGGATGTTCTTACTTTAAAACTAATGTAATAGTTAAACAACCAAAGTTTATTACCTTATCTTCCAAACTGATGACTTCAGCAGCCAGTATTTGGGAACGCTCATCAGCAGCATTACATTCGAGCTGTGCATTTGCATACTCAATCCTGAAGGATTCAAGTTCCGCCTGTAAGGAAGCAGAGTTAAATCAAGAAACAGCTTCTGGAAGAATCTAGACAATAGCTACTGCGGATGACTGAACAAGGCATACAGATGCTCATCCAGATTCACACGCTGGCAGACCCAAATTTTGAGTCTCATAAGTAAACATCAAGCATTTTGATAACATATGAATGCAGAAAAATGCAGTATCATCCTTTAACTACTAGGCCATATACAACTGGGTTTTGCTGAGTATAGGTAGTTACCAGGATACTAACCATTTTTGTTGTTGAGTATAGGTAGTTAATAGGATACTGACCATTTGTTCTTGGATCTGTTGTTGTAGCTTCTCCATATCATCTTTTAGTTGGTTGACAACACTTCTCTGGATAAAAAAGTAGCGAGAACAATCATTATATGATACACTGGAAGGTTAGTGACTATTACAAAGGCCAGTGGACACATGTCAATAGTAGATAAGACATCGTTCACACTCAATAGTACATAAGCCCAGTAAATGCTAATTACGTAGACATCCTGAAGAAACCATCAATATTCTTTTTTTATCAACCATCTGTGCCTCACTTGTGAATGCAGCAATGATCTACAAGTGCCATGCTCTTAAACCATTTTTAGACTATGTTGTGATTTGTGGAAAAAAACATATTATGGACAATTTTGGCGAACAGTGAAGTATGCGTATATGCAAATTATTAGTCAACTACTATATATTGTAGAGCTTGTTCTCTACGTATGCAGGACACTACCCAACTAAGATGTATAAGTCTTCATGTACCTGCTGGTTATAAGTGTCTGTCATCGAAGAATTTTCAGATGCTAAGGATTCGGCCAGAGCACGTGAAGCATCAAGATCCCTTTGCAGTGAGAACTTTTCTTGTGTCAAATCCTCAATATGCTACAAATGGAAATATGAAACCGTATCAAAGAATATGCATAGGTCAAAGCGTATAGAAAGAGATAATGAAAGCAAGAATCCTGAAGTAACATAAAAGTAAAATGCATGACAATATAAAAAGAATATGAACCACCAGCGGAAGACATCAATCAAAAATCTTTGCCAAATTGCTCGTTTTCATATATCGTGAGAACAACTTCCACTTAAGATTACCCTTTCTCGCTCATTCTTTCTCAAAAGCTAATCAAACATAACTTTGAAACTATTTAGTACCATATCGACAATACATATACAAGACAAAAGATGGTGACAGAAAAAAGTATATTACCTGTTCCAGAGTACTAAAATCATCATTTTGTTTTGGCATTGAGTAATTAGTGAAACCTGGCATTACTCCATTGGCAACAGGAAACAAAGGACTCCTAAAATGTTCAAATGAGTAATCAGATGCTCCACTTGTCAATGATGGTCCATTGCTGTCTATTTTCTCTGATACATGTTGGCTTGAAGATAGTCCAAAACGATCACCGCCAGTTATTTGGGAACCACTTGGTGTAGCCAAATCCGCCTCAATCTCAGGGTGTTGATGTTGAGTCTCTGGAGTTCTTGAAATATTAAGGGAATCAAGGAAAGATGGACGATTTCTCTTCACACTTGATTCATTAATAGATGAGTACAAGGGAGAAGAGCTTGTAATATTTACGCTGTAATCCGAAGATTCAGACGGCCGAGATGATGTTTCCGGAGAACTAAACAAATAACTACTAGACAACGATGGTTTCTGCACAGTGCTGCTACCTCCTCCTCTTAGCTCACCACTTCCCTGTTGGATTTTGTCAACTTCGTGAATAGACCCAGCCATCCTGGTAGTAGGTTGTAGAGAGTCTAGCAATAAAAACCGTAAAATATCAGTTAGGTTGTCCTTGTTCCCTTTAAGAAACACACTACAACTGCATCGCCAATCCCATATGATAAAAACGTACCTTTTCTGGATTCAGTGCTATGCATGAAACCGTCCATTTGCATCGATGTTGAAAGCAGAGTGCTTCCAGAAAAAGGAGATGCCCCTTTGGGAAGATGGAAATCCCCACTGGATTGCTTATCTAGATTGCTAAAAGGTAAAACTTGAGGCCTATTGTTCACTGTACCCTCATTGGAGGAACCCTTCAGCTCTAAGCTACTAGAGAAGCCAGATGTACCCATTGACTCATCTCTTTCTCTGCTGACATCCTTAGGTGTTATATTTGAAAACGATAAGTTATATACATCTCCAGAAAACGAGGACTTGGCTTGGGTTTCGTTGAAGGGAGCATGATGAGTTTGAGCAGAATGACTAAAAGGTCCGTTAGAGATGGTGGATGCAACAACGTCTCCATCTGAATCTGTGACAGTTTTGTCAACAGGATGTGTAGAATTATTATTACTTTGTGATGCCTTCTTGGCAGCCTTTTGCTTCCGGAACTGCTCAAGCTGAATCCACAGATTATCAACAACAGAAAAAAAAAATAAAAAGACACATTTCAGAAAATCAAAGCTGTTAAAAATCCCAATTCTAATGATCAAGAGGGGGATGATTGTGATCGATGTATGTACCTTACGGCGTCCAGCTTCGGCGACCTCCTGCCTCCGGGAACTAGCCTTAACCTGAGCTGATGCCATTGACAATACTCGCTAGAGGGGCAATGTATTGTCCCCAACGACTTCAATTCAATCCCTCGTTTTTGTTGTTAATCACCATTGGATCCGTTTAACGCATGCCATTTAGAAATCGCCGATTACAGAGAGGGAAGATTCATCGTTATTGAGGTGGGATTTGATTTTAGGGTTTTCGATCTGAGGAAGAGAGGAGGGAAGATTGTTGGTGGGAGGAGTTGTATCAATCAATTTTGGTTTCCTTCTCCGCCAGATCTCTTTCTCTCTCTTTCTGATAATAATATTCTTTTTTTATTAAAACACTTCCATGCTTTGAGCGTTTTTTTATTTTTTACTTTCTTTTTTTCTCTGTTGCAACATTTTTGAACATTTTTAAGTTTTCCTTTTGACCCATGTTAGTAGTAAAATTCACCGCGGACAAAAAAAAAATAGTAGTAAAATTCACCTTTTATCCAAAACTAAAATGATGCGTTGACCCCGTCGGTTTTCCCAATTCGATAATTGCATACGACATTAACATGTTCTTGCCTCCTTCAGTTGAGTTTCTTATGTTTAAACAAATAGTTTTTCTTGAAATAATTTAACTTATCCGACAGTTTTTTTTCTTTCTTATTTTTGGGAATTCATGATTCATATTGAAAAATTATCATTTAAATCACCAACTTTTAAATTTGGTTGAAATAAAGCACCAATTTTCTCATATGCCAAAAAAACATTCAACTTTTGTTATAAGCCATTTTAATCACAAATTTTCTTCGACCATATTAATTTATGCATATCGTTAGTCAACAGTTATAGTTGACTAACGGTAGGCCTAAAATGGCTTTCAAAATTAATGTTTTTTGGCACAAATATAAATTAATATTTTTTACAATATTGGATATCTTTTAAATATTGAAAATATGTTTTATAACTGAAGCACTAATAAATAAAATTATAAATAAAAGATCCAATAAAAATATAAATAAAACTCAATGTAAGATAATTAGTTAACATACATTAATTGAGTATCTTGGTTATAAAATGATAAGAATATTTTAATTATTTACGATTAATTTTTGTAAATATTTATATAATCCTGTTTGAATTATGTTTTACAAATTTATTTTCAAAAGTTTGTTGATGAAATATTAATTCAACTATTATTTTTTAAATGAAAAAAGTTATCGATTAACGAATTATTCATGATTCTTTAAGTTTATAATAAAGATCTTCAAACAAATCTATATATTTTCTATAAAATTTTTACAAGAGGCTTTCTGCATTTTAAAAAAATAAGTTTCACTAAAATAGATAACTCTTTTTGTTATCCGATAACTCATTTTTTTAAAAAAAAAACAAGAATTGAAGTAATATTTTACTAAAAAAATTTTGACAGTAAAATTGTAAAACATAATCCGTGTAGGATTATAAAAATAGTTTTTTAAAAAATAATCGTAAATAATTAAAAAAAAATATAATCATTTTTAACTAAAATACTCAATTAAGGATATGTTAATTAATAATTTTACATTGAGTTATGTTTATATTTTTTTATGGAATTTATTTTTTATTTACAATTTTATTTATTAGTGTTATAGTTATTATAAGTTTCAATATTTAAAAGCCAATATTTTGAAAAAATTGTTGATTTATATTTGTGCCAAAAAAACACCAACTTTAAAAGCCATTTTAGGCATACCGTTAGTCAACTATAACTGTTGTCTGACGATATGACTAAATTGGTATGGTTGACGAAAGTTTGTGACTAAAATGGCTTGTCAACAAAAGTTGAGTTTTTATTTGGCTTATGAGAAAGTTGGTACTTTATTTCAACCAAATTTGAAAGTTGGTGATTTAAATGACAATTTTCTCGATTCTTATTCATTGTCACTAAGTTCTGATCAAGACGTTTCTTCTGTGATCACATCCATCTGACCGTATAAGCAACATATTTACGAACCAAAAAAAACAGAATTTTGTGCATATAATGAATGATTAATAGGCGATGAAAATTGTGACATCATGTGGCTCACAAGCGCTGCAGCGCAGCGCACCGACCCTAAACCCTCACCGTAAGAGGAACTGCCTCAACATCCACCGGTAGGTTATTGATGCGCTTGGCGTTACTCGAGCCCAAGACCTCACCCTTTAACAACACTCCACAAGATAAGCTGTCACCAATTGACAATTGTAACATCCCGAGTTGTGATATATAGAAAGGCTTAAGAGGATTGATTTGGTTACCTATGTCACCAAAGTGCATTTACCTTTTCAGGAGCACACCTAGAGAGAACTCCAGACTTAAGCGTGCTTGAGCTAGAGTAATCAAAGAATGGATGACCTGTCAGAAGTGATTTGTGATACCGTGTAAATGAAGCTAAAGCACGGGGAAAGGTCGGGTGGTGATTGTAGGGTCAGTAAACATGACTCTAGAGCCTTGGAAAATTAACGGACCGACCGTTGGAACGGGATGGGGCCTCGAGAGAGCGGGCGTGGGTGGCCCATTAGCCGTGGGCGGTCGGGGCGTTACAAGTGGTATCAAAACCGGTTAGCCATCTCAGTTCTGACTTGAAAGGCGTCTTGAGACCTGTCGTGGGGCGACAAGGACGTTGCGTTCTTTGAGAGGGGATGAATTCTAACATCCCGAGTTGTGATATATGGAAAGGTTTAAGAAGATTAATTTGGTTACCTATGTCACCAAAGTGCACTTACCTTTTCGGGAGCACATCCATAGTTAAGCGTGCTTGAGCTGGAGTAGTCAAAGGATGGGTGACCTATCGGAAAGTGATTTGCGATACCGTGTAAGTGAGGCCAAAGCACGGGGAAAAGTCATGTTGTGATTGCAGGATCAATAAACATGACTCTAAAGCCTTGGAAAATTAACAGATCGGCTGTTGGAATGGGATGGAGCCCACATGGCGAGAGAGCGGACGTGAGTAACCCATTAGCCGTGGACGGTCGGGGCGTTACAAAAACCCTACATCTTTTTTCATTCTATCGAATCTCCAAATTCCATTCTAATTGCCTCCTAACATATTTTTCAAATCCCGAAACTTTTTCAAATATTTTCCATATTAAAAGTCTCACAAATCATTAGTCTAATAACCACATAAACAAATAAAAAGTTAAGAACAAACCAAGAGCATATTGGTCAAACGTGTTGTGACCCAATAAAGAGTTACAACTTGACACAAAATCCAGACTTAAGTCCAACTACATAAAATAATTACTAACTAGCTTAATATGTTCTGCTTAATCACGAGTGTTATTATTTACACAATTTTGTACTTCTGAAGAAGATCACATCCGGGTGTATTAGGGGGTGTTATTTATGTGTGGGGCATAAATCTCGTCGTTGTTGCATAGGATCAAGAACTAAATTTCAAAGAGCAGTTTTCTATTTAATATCAGCATCTTGTACAAAAATAGACTGGAAAAGTTGAATGATACATAAAAGAACACAATACAAAAAACAATTAGGAATTTTACCATTAAAACATCTTTTCACGTGATAGACGGATCAAAGATTCTCGAGAGTTATTCAGCCCCTGAATGATCTTCTTGCTCTTCACCTTAAAATTTTGATCTCTAGCATCGGCTCTGACTTGAATCCCGTCGACACCATGCTTCTGGATATCGTTAATGCATTTCTTGATATCCTTCCGAAGAACTGCAGTATCAGATACCGGAGAATCATCTGAATCCATGTCACACAAAAACATATAGATTATCAATCGAAATAAAACACAATAAAATGTGGAATGGCCTCTTAATGTTAGAGTTTGTGGACTCAGTTGCGCTTAAAATTTAATTATTTTGTAATCTTTTAAGACCTTTGTCGTCTTCTTTAACCTAAACCCACTTGTACTACCTTTTGATGGCCAGAAAAAACACAAACAGAAGCTTCCCGAAACATATTAGAAGAGTAGTAGAAGATTTCTCATTTATAATTTTAGTAAAATTCACTTGTTTTTAGTTAACTAACTCTAACAATTAGCAAAAAAAATTATATTTTTATGGTTAAAGGTTCATATTCAACAGGAAAAATAATTATTTTCTTTTGTGCTTTCAAAATAACAAACTTTCAAATATCAGTGGATTTATTTAGAGCTCTCAACTACAGATTTTGTAAAAAAAAATTGGAACTTTCAGCTACTTAATGAACATTTTGTTCAGTGTGAATTATTCATATGACTTGAAAAGATTTTCATGAACATTAGGTTTCTTTTGTTTTGGCTCTCAAAAATTCTTTGGTTTTTAACTAATTGGCTCATATCAGTTAGAAAACAAATTATACCTTTATTCTTAATAAAGATTCGGGTTCAACATGAAAATTATATATTTCTTTCCATGCTTTTGATATGACAGACTTTAAAATATCAGTAATTTGTTAGAAATTCTCAACTATAACTTTAGTAAAATAGAAACTTTCAGCTACATAGTGCACACTTTGTTCAATGAAGATTATTCATACGGCTTAAGAAAATATCTTTCATCAACATCTAATTTGTATAAGGGAGATTATTCAGTGGAGATTATTCACATGGTTTAAGAAAATATCTATACAAGTTCATTTCTTCATTCATGTTTAACTTTTTAACATTTTGTTCAGTGGAGATTATTCACATGGTTTAAGAAAAGATCTTTTATCAACATTATTTTGTTTTGTTTTGTCTATCTAGTTTTCTCTTATTTTTAGCTAACTAACTGTAACAATTAGCAAACAAATTATCTTTAATGGTTGTTAAATATTCAGGTTCAACATAAAAATAATTATTTCTTAGATGCTTACTTATAATTAGAAAACGTTAATAAAGATTCAAGTTCAACATAAAATAATTTTTTTTCACCAACCAGTTTAATTTTTCCTCGTGTTTAATTTTTCTTTCATCATCATTCATCCAAATCAAGAACATATTGGTTAAAGGCTGTGACCCAATAAAGAGTTACAACTTGGCACAAAATCCAGACTCAAGTCCAACTACATAGAATAATTACTAACTACCTTAATATGTTCTGCTTAATCATGAGTGTTATTATTTACACAATCTTGTACTTCTGAAGAAGACCACATCCGGGTGTTGCAGGGGGGGGGGGTGTTATCTATGCGTGAGGCATAAATCTCGTCGTTGTTGCATAGGGTCAAGAACTGAATTTAAAAGAGCAATTTTCTATTCAATATCGGAATCCTGTAGAAAAAAAGACTGAAAAAGTTGAATGATACACAAAAGAACACAATACAAAAACAATTAGG